TGGGAGTTAATTTATTTTTGCCTACCAAGATTCAGTAATTTATTATAGGACAGGGATTGTCCTTTATGGATATGCAAAGGGATAGCTCATGGTTGTGATACATTTTCTTGAGGCTGTTCTACTTCTACCATCTGAGGTTGCACTGTGACTAACTTTGCACACTTGGGCAATAACATGCTGTTCTGAATAATTTATTATGTAGTTCTGATTCACAATTATTAGAAAATTCATTACATAGTCAATATTTATGACATGGCTTCTCTTTCCAGGTATTTTATGGCAATTTGCTGCAGTATTTTGCTGTTATGGCAAATAAAAAGCCATTGAATTTTGAGTTACTAAATTTGATGGGGAAGCCATTGATAGAAATGAGCATGGAGATTCCATTTTTTGCTACAATATGTGCTCGCCAAAGAATAGAAAGGGCGAGAAAACAATTGGTTCAGAGCTTAAAGAACCCAGGTTAGAATTAGATGTAATGGTTGCATATTTTGTGTTGCCAATTAACAAGAACGTGAACTCCTTAGATGCTTGTTGTGACACTTCTTGTTCTTCAGAAAGTAGCAGTTGGCCTTCTTCCAAGATGTTGTTTCTTTTGCGCTTGTGGTCCTTGATATTTCCATGCACTGACTTTCGGCATCCAGTTATGACACTGGCAATACTATTGATGTGTGAATATCTGATGCGCTGCCCAATATTGTCTGGTCGGGATGTTGCCATTGGTGCTTTCTTATGCTCCATGCTTCTCTCTGTAAGTATATCTTCAAGCAAGATGTTTCATTTGTCGCCTTTATATTGTGCTCTTTGTATTTGACATCAGCAAAATATTCTGGTGTAAAATTTTTTGATTTTATCATGATCTTAGTGTTTTATAATTTGAATGCTGATGATTATTGTATTATAGTTATTTTAGCTGGGCAGTTTAAATAAGAACTGGAGTTGGTTTTCTTAAAAGGTGCTATAATCTGAATGTTGTCAACTTTTCCTGTCAGACTAACCCTTTAAACTTTTTTTTGGCTAAATTATACGTGACCCCCTATATTTTATATTACGTGCAAATAACCTCAAATATTTAACACTTCACATTAAATTTCCCTAAACTTTTAGAAGTTATGCAAATAATTCTGTTGCTATTCATTTTGTTTTTCTTTTTATTTTCTAACAGTATACTTCCATAATGATTGAGTTGCTGAAGTGATGTTTCTTGACCTTTTTTGCAATTATTGCGGTTGCGACTTGCTCATGTACTTAATTTGAATTACAGATATTTAAACAGTCGCGGAAGTTCTGTCCTGAAGCCATAATTTTTCTTAGAACTATGCTGGTGATGGCTACTGAAAAAAAATCTTTTTCGGATGAAGATTCACAGGTATGACTTCATACTTCATTGACTACAATTTGAAGCATAATTTAATGCTGAAAATATGTGTGAATGATATGCTCCCTCGGGTCCAATACAAAGGCTAGTTGGGGGTTTGTTTTGGTCCAAAATGTAAGACTCAATCCACATTGCATTTCAAATTGACAAGTTTTCCCAACCTATCCTTGTTAATTATGCATATCAAAAGAAGGTTTCCATTAATGAGACTAGTTTTCCATGCAAACGGTTAAATGAGTATCTTAGAGAAACCATTACAAATTTTTTACAAATAACTAACTTTACTATTTTTTTTTTTTTTTATTTCTGCAAATTAGCAATCCAATTTCTGCATTTAGGAAGGGTCGTTTTTAATTAGGGAGGTGAGGAAAAAGGGTCGTTTAATTCTTTGAGATGCGATTCAAGCAATGTGTCTTAAGATTACAAGTCCAAACACAGAAATGATTAAACTATAATTCAAGGAATCACATGAATTGTATTCTTGTATTCAAAATAGCACTAAAAGAATTGAGGGAAATCATTAACTTTTCCAATAAAGTGTGTCCCATACCGGCTCCATTGAGAAACAGACACGTAAAATCTTGACCACATCTATAACCTAGCTGCATCCTAAGTTAGGTGTTTATTTGGTTTTGAGATGTGTTGTAAGTTTCGAGAAGGTAATCGAATTTCGTGGGTGCATATTTAATGACTATTTTGTCTTATTCCAGTTTTATCAACTTGTGGAATTGAAAGCTCCCAAGCATCTCTTGTGCATGCAAGAGGCGATAAATGAGATTAGTCCTCTGAATTTCATAAAGATGATTGACACTCCAGAGGACTCTTCTTTCTTCTCTTCAGATGATTTCAGGTAAACTATCCAATTATGATGATGGCATACGATATTGGTATTTGAACTTGAAAACAACATTTTGTCCCCTGAACCATCTGTCGAACTTAAACATTTGACTGTCGAGAGTACTTAGATTCATTTGAAGGGATGTTTGTCTTTTACTCAACATGTGCTATTAAACATTAAATTCAGTCTGTGCACAACGGTCTCACTTTTCAGCAAGTTTAGGGAGAGCAAAGTTTTAAATTTGAAGTTTAGATACTAATATTGTAATTAGGTTATAGTCTAGGGGTTAAATGTGCTTAAAGCGCCATGTTTTCTTTACTACACAATTTTGTGCATCATTAGACATTTTCTAGGTTTTCTAAATCTTCACTTTCATATATAATTATGCTTTCTTTTAAGAATCCAATGTCTTTGGGCACGAGTTGCATTGTCAACATTTGATCGTTTCGATTTGACCTTGCAGATATAATCGCAAATAATGCATGTATGCTAGATCATGCAAATATTAATCTCTTTTATCTGCTTTAAGTTGAATATTAATATTTTCTTTTGTCGGTAACGGTTATAGCTTTGTTAACCTTAACTGTTTTAATTACAGGGCGAGTGCATTGGTTGCAGTTCTTGAAACTCTACGAGGCTTTGTCAATATCTATGACAGCTTAAGTTCATTTCCTGAAATCTTTTTACCAGTTTTGACGTCATTAAGTCAAGTAGAAAAGGAGAAAAACATCCCAAATGCACTACGTGATACAATTAAAGATGTTGATGAGCTGATTAAGTCGAAAGTGGATGAACATCATGCTACAAGGCGACCACTTCAAATGCGGAAGAAAAAACCAGAACCAATCAAGCTGTTGAATCCAAAGTTTGAGGAGAAGTAAGTTCTATATCTGTTCATTGCTCAGGTTTTGATATTAAACAAGCTTATTATAAAAGGGGCACAAATCAAGCGTTTATTAATTATTAAATGTCAAATATGCCATGCAGCTTTGTTATGGGTAGAGACTATGATCCAGATCGTGAACGAGCCCAAAGGAGGAAATTGTATAAAGAATGGAAACGTGAGTCTAAGAGGGCTGCTAGTGAATTAAGAAAGGACAGTACTTTCTTGTACGACGTGAGGGACAAAGAGAAGGCTTTACTAAATGAAGAAAGAGCAGAGAAGTATGGAAGAGCAAAGGCTTTCCTTCAAGAACAAGAGCATGCTTTTAAATCTGGACAACTGGGAAAAGGAAGGAAGAGGAGGAGGTGAACCTGGCTTATGATTTTGATATATTAGTTGGTAATTAGTAAAATCATATTATATTAATTTGCAACCAATTTTGATAACTTTATATATTTGATTTTTACGCTTAAAGAAATCCATCCTTTTACGAGATTCCGGTAGAGGAGAGGGTCAACATATAATTTTGTATGCATGCAAGTTATATATTTGTAGTTGACGCGCAAGTGTATGTTCTTTATGTAAACATTTTTCCTTTTAAACTGAAATGGAAGAAATGGCCATTCGCAGTTCTTAGTTCTACCCATAGCAGAAAACCAGAGAACCATGTCCCCAAGATACATATTAACTGAAATGCGTTTACACCGAAGAATGTCGGACGCATGTCATTTGCAAATTCCATGTCTTAATTATTTATATGCATAAATATCCAAATCTAACGGAAGGTAAGTTGAAGAAACAGTATGAAGAAAGTCATTAAACTTTTTTAGTAAACATTGAAGACATAATTTCAATATTTTTGGGTATGCCTCACCTCATCAATTCGTTTTTCTTGTAAATATAAATCAGTTTTTTCACTTTTGGAGTTTTGGTCTTATATGCACCGAGAAGTGAAAAGGGAAACACCTAAAGCGAATCACAACATTTAAGATTCTACAGTTATAAAAAGTTTTCATGGTAATAGTAAAGTCAACAAATGACACGAGATATGTTTTAAAAAATATGATTGTCTACGATCAATGAATGATTACTACAAAATCCAGAAATTGAAAAATTATACATTAAGCTAAAGCTATTTACTCAAAATTTTAGATTTAATTCTCACCTCTGAATTTTCTTTCCAATCGACAAGTGCACAGTTTTAACATATCGTGAGAGATAGTTACAAAGCCAATGAATTAATAAAACCTCATTGATATGTATCATATGGAACAGTAGACTTGGGAAGGTATCTAAGCATAAAACGAGCGGACTACTAAAGGGTTTTACCACGATTTAATTTGTGTAAAACTTGTGCAACAAAAATCTTTTCCGCCTCCCTGACCATCACTTTTATCAGATCAACAATGTTGAACCGTCTAATCTCCTCGAAGCTTCCTATCCGTTGTTTGAAATTGAAGCCGACAAAGGTTTTTATATATACTATTAACCTTACAAAAGAAGTTCAGGAAAAGAGGAACTAAGTGGGATTAGATCCCAAACAATCCTTTTCTACCTGGCGCCTCAGTACTCGGGTAGGCATTATAATAGGAAGAAACCGAGATCCCCAGTTTGGCCAGCGCATCAGCAATATTGTTTGCTAGGCCTCCATATAATATACGGAGGACATGGCCCACGAGTATCTGTAAAGATTCATAAGCTCTGACGCCACTTCTGTTGAAACCCTAGTGGAGGCCCACCTATTGCCCAACTGAAAACCCTTTGAGCTCTAAAAAGTGACATTAACATGTACACGTGGTGCCAATGGCCTTACATCTATGAGGTTGCAGATTTGATCTTACCAGCTTTCAAGCTGATTTTAGCTTCACCCCTGGTACTTAATATGCAAGTGGCCCCCTATGAATAGGATGATGCCCTTGGTTACGCATCCTCCAAAAAATGGCATTCTATAACCCAACAGATGACAGCTTTACATAGTTTTGTCTGTTTCCATAATTTCCTATGAAATTTTAGACGAGGACAACAGGAACTAACAAATGAAATACCCGAGAAAGGAAAAAAAAAAAAATCTGTGGAAGTAAAGGCACCTCAACTAAAACGCCAACAACCATATTCTATAAGTTGCTGGCAGTCAGAAACATGAAGGTATCAAAAATTTCTCCTTCATGCGAGAGATGAGCTTGAACTTCTCCTCAGCCTCCACCTGCTGTCGAATGTCGGTTTTTGACGCCCGATCTGGGTGGAACCTCAGCAAGGCCTGTTTATAAGCTGCATGCACCTGAAATGACCATTAAAAGAGAAGAATATCTTTAACAAAACCCAGGAAACATAAAATAGAAAAAACAGAAAACTTCATATTGTAGCCGGAACAATACAAAACAAGACAACTCAACCTAGAAGCCATGTCAATGCATGTCATCTCCAAACTTATCGACAAGCTACACATAAAAAGAAAACTTGCCTCTTTTGGCAAGGGGCTAAAGCCTCCTCCCACTTGTATTCCTAAGCCACGAAGCAATGAAGCCATGTTCACGCATGTTATCTCCAATTTATTAAGCTCTTTCCTTATTTCATTCCGCAGCTGCTCTTTAATGTTCATATTTTCCTCATCCTGAATTTGGCACAATTTAATAAATTGATTGAGAAAAACTTTGCAGTTGCCAAAAATTCCAAGTCTAAATTATGCATGAGAATGAGGAGAAATTGGCCAAAAATAATAGAATAAGGACAAATTGAAGGAACAAGAATAACAATGGATATGCGTTAAAGGAAATTGGGATAACAAATATTCTAAGAAAATTTTAAGTGCATAATTACTACCTTCTTCTGTGTCTCTCTGACTTCTTCAATCCGTTCCTTTTGCCTTCTCTGCATATCCAATAAGCGCTTACTTTCAGCCTTTTTTCTTTTACGCAACCTTTGTGCCTCCTCTGCCTGAAAAAGGGACATGTATGATCATTTGACTTAAGCCGATTAACAACCACATATTGAGTAGCAAACAAAACAGACAAATGCAATTAGGTCTATCAAAAACCAATTAAAGGAAGCATATAACAAATCATGCAAATATCCGCCCATTAAAAGATCTGAAAATGCAATAGATCAGTGATATGTGAAGTATCACCGCAGTTTTTAGAATTCAAAAGCATCAAACTGCAGAATGCGCATCAGAGATCAGGAATATATTTAAAAATCCTGGGCATAAGGCACAGCAGAAAGTCTCACACACAGATACAAAAATATGAGGCAAAGAGAAGTTTAAAATGCTACAGCAAATGAACTAGACGGTAATGTCATGACCGCACACTTGCTCTCATGCGTGACCTTAGCAGGAAGAAATTTGAACTGGACATGGTGAATAGAAGTAACAAAATCTTCAATCCAATAGGAATTTTACAGTGTTAGACCTTCGAGAACACACACACGGGCTACACCACTCTATTGAATGCCATGATTTAAGCTTCAAAGAAGATAAGAATTAAGGGTGCATCTAAAGAATAAAAAGGAGAATTATAAGCATCAAGATGAAATGAATAGTAGGAAGGTGGTCACCAGTTAAAACTCCATTTGAAACCCATATGGTGACCACATTTTTCTCTATTCTGTTTGATTGCAAGAGATGGCAAATTATAGGGACGATATCAATCTACAGAAGAGAAGCCTAAACTCAAAAATAATATAAAGACAATAAATACAGGGAAAAATATCCAGAAAAGAACTGGCATTTATACCAACCGGCCCCTTCTATCTTGTAAAATTGCAGTGTGTATTTCAAGCACCAAGAAAAACAGGGATACATATATACCCAAAAACAAATATTAACATAATGACACAAATGCAATACCTGAATTTGCAATTGCCGTTGTCTGGATGCCCATTCCTCTTCAATGGCTTGCTTATATTCATCAGTTTCCTTAAGTTTTTCTCTTTCATTAATTATATCCCTCACACAACATTCTTGAGAAGCAAACCCATCCTGCTTAGGTTGTATTTCATCAAAAGAGGCACAGCTATTATGTGTGTCAGGAAAATCCCTGTTCCTTAACCCAGATCCATCACTCTCAATTTGTCTTTTGTTTTCTTCACGGGTGGAACGCATAAATTTAGAATCTTTATCACCTGCTTCTTTATTGAACTCACTAGCAACATCATAACTTTTAGACTTGGCACAAGGGCGGAATTCTTCACTCCTAGTCATTTCTTCACACTGAGAATGAGAATTCTGGTGTAAAGATTGCGATTTCTCTGTGGACCCAAATGTACAAAATTTATAACTCTCTTGGTCAATTTTCTGACCAGAGTCCTTACAAGGATATTCTTTCTCCCTATTGAGATCAACATCATCTATTTTATTGTTACCCATGTGGGCTAGGTTCACTGCACATTTACCATTGCTGGAACCAGAATATAAGGAAGTTCCAGCATCCTGTCGTGTCCTATTTTCTATTTCAATATCAGCATTAGAATTCCTATGCAAACCAGAAGAACTGGCCTGCTCATCAAAACGAGCATGATCATTAAAGGTATGGCGTCTTCGTTTAAAAGCTTTTTCCCACTGTTCACAAACTTCCATAAGTTCACAGTCAGAACAATCACTCTCGGATGACTCACTTTCAGAGGAATCCAAACCATAACGATTTCTGTCAGCAGCTTGTGTGGAGCTTGATTTCCTACTTTCTGGCAATTTAGATGAAGAACCTTTTTCAAAGATATCAGGACAATCATCAATATCTAGGTGTACAGAATTTCCCGTAAATCCTGGAGCAGAACATCTTTTGCTTGAGGAGGCATCACTATCCAATTCCCCACCACCTTCAGCAATAATTTCAGTCTGGTCTCCTTCATCGCTCTCATCATCATCATCAATGCTGATGACACTCTGAAGCGGACACTTTCTGTCTCTACTCTGCACACTAGAGCCATGCAACTTTTGTTGCACATAATCAGGAAAATCTATAATTACCACGTCATCAACTTGATCACCATCTATGTCAATAACAACATTTTCTGAATACTCTTTTGCCCGACCAGTTTTGGGTGCACTCTTCCCAGAACACGTCCGGGGCTGAAAGCGCTCTCCTGACACTCCTTTTCCTATCATTTATCTCTGGGTAGCAGAAATTACAGAAATTATACTTCAGAAAAATAACTTTACCATAAAAACAGAGGGATACATATCAAAATAAAGATGGATAAAACAATAAAATGATTTCAAGAGGCACGTAGCAGAAAAACTTGAGCTCATATTTTACTAGACAGCCTATAGCACTTGGTAGAATTATAAGAATGAAAACGAAGCAAAGAGGACTTAAGTGAGCGCGGGAACGCCCCTCCATTTCAGGAGCACAGCCACAAAAAGACAACTCCAGAAGATCCCTTGAAATCCAATACAGGCCAAAATAAATCATCGTCGAAGCAGAATTCCCAAGCATACACATAAAGATAGCAAAATTAAGATCAACCCAACCATATAGCATGTCAATTTTATTTATCTCCAAATCAAACATACCCTTGAAAGAAATACGGTGCACAAGCTCCAAATACATAAATGATCTGGAGGAAACAGCATAACAGACTGCTTCAACCACTGAGATAAAGAATGGGTATGGTTAATTTCAGGTAACAATAAAACCCTAATCAGACAATTTTCAAACAAAATTCAAACTGAAGAACATCAAACTCAAGGGGTTCCACGGTGACGGAGAGCAACATCGAGGGTTCTACCCTATCAAGATATCAGAATTTCAGAACAGCAGAACCATGAAGACATGAAAATATTGAGGCCAACAAAGACAATTTGAAACCTACCTCCATAAAAAAAGAAATCAAAATGAAAAAAGGAAGCTTCTGGATGTTCCCAGGAATCCTCTAAGCTCTTTAGAGCGAGACAATAGGACCAATTTATGGAATTAGAGAGAGATCCAAAGACGATCGAATGAAGGCAGAAGACAGAGCGGAGAACGAAATGGGGCACTCAATATAGAATTGTTCAGGTTATTTATTTATCATTCATATAATCATATTCATTATTATCCTTGCAAATAATGTAGAAGTAGAAGTGGGAAAAACTGGGCTTTGTCATCTGAGGGCATTTTAGTGTTTTCATATAATTTTTTATTATAGGATTCATAAAACTAAAAATATTAGTTATTTGTAAGAAACATATGTATGAAATTTTCTAGAAGACCTTCATAAATCATTTGTATCCCTCTTGATGCAAGCTTTTTCAATATGTATAATCAATAAGCATAGTTTAAAAAAATTATTAGCAAGGAACAAAATAGATTGAGATTTTATGTTTAAAATCAAAATTAGTTTCCTGACTAATTTTCATATTTAGAATTGAAGGAAGTAATTTTTGAAAAAAAATTATAATCAGTGTTGAATGTACGCATAGGTCCTTCTTCATGAATTTTTAACAAGGAAAGAGAATAAAAGAATAAAATGGAAGGGGTTAAAAAATTCAAAGGCAAGCGGTAAGTGATTTCCTGAAGGCTTTAAATCAGCTTTAAAGGCCAAACAAAACCATAGCGCCTGTCATTAACTTTAGAAAATGAAACTTCCAAAGTCAACGGTCATCGCTGCAAAGGACCTGGAAGCTCATCCCAAGGGGGCAAAAAATAAAAAAGCAAAATATATATAAGCACTTATTTGATTTTTATTTTGATCTTAAATATAAGATTATAATTCACTTTGTTTCTCATATTTGTTTTATTTTTTAAAATAATCCTTGTAATAATAGTGGTTCTAGCCAATACACTTGATTAGTAAGAATATTTTTATAAAAAAACAACTTAACTAATATTATTAATTTATTCAAATTAGTTAACTAGGTCTTTTATTAGAAACCAGAAATAGTATTAATTAATAAAATAATAAAATACTAGGAACTTAGTACTTAATTGGATTATTTTCTGGCTAGTGAGAGGAGTTGAGCACGCAACTTGCTAGAAACTTTATTAGTCTCTCTCTTATTTTACAAGGGGAACTTTAGACTTCTTGTGGCCCAAGCAATTGAAGTGTAACTACCCTCTTATTTCCTCCCACCCAGGCAACTCCGAAGAAATGTTTGAAATAAATTAATTTTATATTTAATTAAATAAAGTTAAAATTAAAATGGCTGAACCGCTGCGTCGAGAAAAATTAAGTGCAAAACTACTACTACCTCCGGTACTTAATATAAGATCTTATTTGAATTTTACTTTGGTTCTAAATATAAGATCTCAATCCACTTGATCTTTTATATTTATACATTTTTTCAAGATAGTCCTTTTGATAATGGTAATTCTAACCAATATACTTTATTAGCAAGAATATTTTAGAAAAGACAATATTTATTTATTATAAATAACTAACTTAACTTATTTTTTTAATCTACTCAAATTAATTAACTAACTCTTATAATTAGAACAGGAAGTAGTATCTTGTTAAGGCCCAAACCCAAAGATGTATTTTATAAATAAAAAAAATCTCGTTCTACAATTCCACTTCTAGACAATACAAAGAGGCCCCTCTTTTAATGGGCCGAGAGCTTTGCCTTTTGGGTAATTATTCTCCGGCCCAGCCCAGAAAATTTTACTCACAAATAACTGTTTTTTTTATTGTCCATTTTTCTTGCTTTAAAAAATTTGGAGAAGGACCAAAAAATACCTGCTAAATTTTTAAAAAAAAAAAAACAAAAAGGTCATACTAACCACTTTTGTAATGGTTTTGACTACACTTGTAATGATTTTTACTATTTAAAATTTGTCAAATTCACTGTTTCTCATTTTAAAATTTCACAGGTATTTTTCTGTCGTTTTTTCTCAAAAATATTAAAATATCTCGTGGGGGAAAAAAAATTCTATGGATGCTCATTGCCTATGTAGTACATATCGTTAATGACTAGCTGTGACCATTAAAATGTAGAGCAATTTTAGTCGCTCACAAGTTCTGGAGCTTGTTATCAATTTAGCTTGGTTAAATATTCGCTTAAGCAAATGATTATTACGGATGTTGGGATTTCAGAGAATCACTGATCATTATCCATTCATCAACATTGAACTGGTAACAAGAGAGATATGGCCCCAAGTTTCAGAAAACAACAGAAACAAATGAACAAGTGACTCGTATCTGATTCCTCAACAAGAACAAAGTATATTATCAGAAACATCTTATACAAAGTTTGGCGATTCACATTGGAACTTAGGATACAAAAATGATATGACCAAGATCTAAGCGTCCCCACTTCATAAAATCATGAGATCCATCAATGGGATTTTGCAGAGTTGCCTTCTCTGATGCTGCAGGGAGGTTGAACCAGCACCACAAGAGGAGAAAGCAGAGGGATAGGATCTGATCTGCTGCTAAAGATTGAATCAGAAGAAGAACTTGAACTTGACCTGTGTGGATCACGGCAAGAAGCAGAGGAAATGGCGTTAGGTTTGATTACCTGAAGAGGACAAGGAGCACGCTTTTGCAGGCGACTACTCATATTACACCTTCTGAATTCAAACTCATCCCTGTGACTGTAAGTCTGAAAACCAGGAAACTCAACCCTAGACTCCTCCATTGATCTCTTCTTTCATCACTCTACTCTACCATCCGTTTATGTACTCTGCTGAATCAGATCATTTCACAGTAGAAAGGGGGGGGGGGCAGAGATTTAGATGAACGTGTTCTCTTTCTCTCTCTCTCTCTCAATAAGTGGGTAGTAAAAGAAAGTGAGCAAATATGGATGGAATAAACAAAGTGGTGATATTAAGGGATGGCAGGGGAAGGATTGGAATGAGCAGAATAAGATATGGAGGAATTGAAGGGATTGCTGTTGCAGGAAGAAAACCGGCCAAGTGCCTTGTTGTTATTCATGTGAAGGCAGAATCAAAGCACACTGTTACAGAAATCACATGCACATGCCGGTTCTACCAAATAATATATATTAATATATATATATATATATATATATTAAGAGTTACATTTGATGAGAAATAGATGTGATATGGTATGATTTTCAGTTCTAAAATTATACTATCTCCGCTCCTAATTATAAGAACTCATTTATAGTCTACAAACGAGATATTATAATTAGACCGGAAATAATACATACATATGTAGGTTTGTTTATGTTTATTGTGAAAACAAAGATGAGGAATCTATATTTTATACTTCCCTATCCTATATATAAGACCTATTTTATATGTTTACCAATTTTTTTCAAATTAACCTTATTAATATTTTCCAACAAAAATCAAAGAGGAGAGGGAGGGAAGGAATCAAGAAAAATACCTGGGGTATTTTAGAAAAAAAATTCATATTAACTAATTTAAGTAACATCTTTAATTTAATCAAATTAGTTAATTAGGTCTTATATCAAGAACCAAAGAAGTAATAATTAATATTACCTCCAATCTTTAATATAAGAGCTGGTTGAAGATTTGATTTGGTGATTCTAAATATAATGCATGAATCCATTTTATCTCTCGACTTTATAATATTTTATCTAGAATTTTTCTATTGATTGTAAAGGATTCTCACAAAAAAAATTCTGATGGGCATAATTAAATATGATAGTTTAAGAAAATCAACACTTATTTATTATAACTAACTAATTTAACTACTTTTTAAATATTTTTACATTAATTTTACCACAAAAAAAATATTTTTACATTAATTATCTAGTTTTTATATTAAGTATTCTTGAGTAGTATTTCATAACATTCTTTTATTTTTCTTTTTCTTTTTTTAATATGAAGACTTTGTTTAGTGTTTATCTTCGTCATGTGCTCACCGCCAAGACCAGTGAGGAGCATTGACCATTGAGTGGTCTGAAGGAGAAGACACCCCCACGAGATCTGTGCACTTTTCTTCAATTAAAAGGTTACCTCTTCCATCCCATGTTTCACACAAAATTGTTAAATTAAATTTTTAAGAGTATCGCAACCATATAGTCATATATATATATATATATATATATATATATATATATATAGGGGAGACAAACAAAAGGTTATGAAAAACAAAACAAAAAATAAAAATATACATGAAGTTTTTTTTCCCCGGGTTGTCTCTCTTTTGTTTATCTCTCTCACTTTTATGATTATACTCCTCCGGTCCTTATTATAAGACCCCATTTGACTTTTTTATTTGGTCCTAATTATAAGACCCCAATCCATTTTGTCTCTTATATTTATGTATTTTTTTCCAAGATAATTCTTCTAATAATGATAGTTTTATCCAATATACTTAATTAGCAAGGATATTTTATGAATGACAATACTTATTTATTATAAATAACCAACTTAACTTACTTCCTTAATCTCCTCAAATAAGTCAATTGGGTCTTATAATTAGGACTGGAGGAGTACAAAATTTCAGAAGGTGAAATTAATTACACCAAGAAATAATAATAAACGTCTGAACTAAGCTCGCTTCATATTTGTTCCAAAATCTAACAACAACCATGGAATTACACAAAACCTTGTACCAAAGGTTATTATCGAATTTTAAAAATTATATTTAAAAAAAAGTTTATATCATCCTCAATATTTGAACAGTGCGTTTCAGTCGGTTCATTTGATTCCAAAAGAAGCCACATGGCAAAATCCTATGTGGCCGCAATAGGCCAGAGGATAATGAGTTGGGGTGTAATTTATTTTTATTTTTTTTACCAGAAGTAATTTATGTTTTTAATTATCAAACTTATAAATATGTGATTTTAAATTTATTATTCGTCACACATTACAGAGGTGATAAATGCAAATATATATATATATATATATATATCTTAATTGAAACAGAGCCACTTCACAATGAAGCACACTCAAATATTATTGATATCAGTAATGATGGTGATGAAGATGATAATCATAATCATAGTGTTGGCGTTGTTGATAATGCTACTAATGTTTAATTGTTTGATTTATTTAATTTTGAACAATAGTTTATTAAAATTCAGGTGGTTTTATTTGGTTTGGTTTTGATAATTTTGACCATCATTTGATATTTTAATTTGCTAATATTTATTATTTAACTTCATAAAATTGATCGTTTTTTATCATACAATATCGAAATTGAATATCGCACATATGATTAATTTGATGAAGTTAGAGAATGAGAGTCACTCTCCCTTCTATGCCTTTTATAGGAAAAAAAATTAGAAAGTTCTCTTGAAATTTTAAAGGAGACTTTACACATTTCTCAAAATATGAATTCTTTTTTTTCTTTTAAATACCTTTAATCATGTCAAGAAAGATACAGCTATACTGATTTAATAAATCTTAGTGAGAAAGGGTAGTTTTAAGAAGTTGAAAATATAGACATATTTAATTTTCTTTTTTTTTGGAATGAATAGACATATTTAATTAGAATAACTAATTCTTTTAATTTGTGTAAAAGTTGTTAAATATTTCTTAGGAAAAGAAAGCTGCGTTATTTTTTTTTATTTTATACTAACTCGGTTCCTAAATGTAAAAGTTAATTGGTGATTTAATTTGGTTTTAAATATAAGATCTTCATCTACTTAGCTCTATATTTACTCATTTTTCTCCAAAATAATCACATGATGATTGCATATATTAAAAGATTTCTATTCTAATATACATATTTAATAAGGACAATTTAGAAAAAACACAACTCATTTATCACAAATAATGAACTTAATTAATTTTTTAAAATATTTATAAATTAATTATATAACTTTTATATTAAGGATCGGAGGTAGTATAATATAAACATACACACGCATATGAACATCTCAATGTCATATTTGAGTTAGGAATTTCATCCAAACATGTTTGGAACTCTTGAGAAACGATGGCTTAATGATGGTGTGGGAGAGACTAGGAAAAATAATTGAGAGGAAAGGGCTACAGAGCAAACTTGAGAGGAAAAAGCAAACGCAACTTGCTTTGGGCCCTCATTGTTGTCTCTGTCACTTAAAAGGGCAAGATTGAAACAAACCCACTTAGCTAAACACTGTTTGGTCAAAGGGAAAAAATTGCTAATGTGCTACGCCCCTGAATGATGTGGATTGGACAATAAGTGCATCGACTTGGACCATCCCAAAAGGACAAGCCCCCAGAAAAAACAGAAGAAGTGGCAAAACGTCACCGCACTTTATACAGAAAGATTCACGGTGGAACTGAATCAAGCCATTTTTCATTGGGTTGGCTTCATATAATTGTTGCCCCTGCCTGCCACTACCGCATTTAAAAATACAATATATTCAAACTCAGTGACATGTAAACTTCACAGTCTTAATTATTGATATCAGAAAACAGTATTTTATATTAAAAGGGAACTGCTTTAAAAAACCGACATGTATTGTGTTGAGATCATTTTTTCCTCAAGTGTAATTGGATTGACTAGTATGTAAAGTTTGGATAAGAATTGAAGAAAGAAAAATGGCAGAAAGAAGAACAGTTTTGCAGACTAAAACCATGCAAGCTAAGTGCCAGTCTCCATCAGAGGTAGGCATGAACTATTTTCAACATTTAGTAAGCCATCATGCTGGAAAAGTTGGAAAAGTCATGTGTCTGATAAGAAAAACATATAAACTAGGAAGCCAAACACCATTTCTTTTCATCTTTCAAGTTTTTCTCACGTCATTTACACTTTATTCATAATTTTCTACTCTTATTTATCACAGCAGATCCAAAATTAGCGTCAAACACAGACTTTTTCTAGGCTGTATAGCGTAGTAACTTTTAAAGACCAGAATGCAACATGCAAGAAGCTAGAGACAATGATATTCTTATTTACTCGCTTTATAATGCAAAATCATGTGACATAAGTGCAGGAGATAAAGAAGTGAATGTCAGAAAAATGAAGAGTAATTGATAATATTTATATATAGGGACATTGAATTGTTTACATACAGAGAGACATGGTTAAGGGCCTACCCTACACAGTTGAGGTTTCTCTACGCTTTCATCTGTAAAGCTAGTTTCCATCTAATGCATGGTTGGATCTATTGTGAGAAACTATAGCTAAGCTTTGCTGTACGGAAAAAATCAGAGGAGATTGAGGTTGTCTATGCTGCTTTTGAGAATGTGTTGGTGTTCCTAATTTCTCTGTGCCGATGTTTGGCTGGACAAAGCAAACATGTAAATTTCATCAACTATAAGACTTGATCACGTCTGCAAAGGATCTGGACTTGAAAATGCCGCCAAAGAGGAACCTGGGATTCTGTGGATTTGCAGTTATGGGGATTCCCTTTACTTTGAGAATGTTGCTGCCAATGATTTGGCGAATGGATTCTATGGAATTGGAATCAACAGGGCAACGGGATGCGCCACGAACGTAGAATGTGTTCACAGCTTTGCCTTCCTTTGTGGACACTTGTGCTCTTGTCACATCAAGGCTGTTCTCTCTCAATATCCTTGTTACATCGGAAAGTAGTCCGAACCTGTCGGCTGTGCAGAGTTCTAGTTTCACACCCTGAAAGAGGATGAATAAACAAGTTGAGTTTCTGTACACCATTTAATCCAACAAATGAGAAACTATCAAAATATGCTAATCATGATGAAATTTTAGATACTAAGTCATGAATTTTGAGAACGCAAGAAATAGAATATAAGTAAAGTTGTAGCATTATCAGCTTCGACAAAATGCTATGTGGGGAAAATACTGTGTAACATGGGCCACGTTCCAGACAAAAAAAAAGGCAATTGCAGATTCATTAATATATATAAAAGAACCTCACCTCTGATACTCTTCTCTCTATGGCAGCTTCAATGCATTGGACCAATCTTTGTCTTTCTGCATCAGATTTTACCGGGGAGCCATCAGCATGTCTAATGAAATATTCCTGCAGATACATTCATTCAAACAAATTAAATCAATGTCTATTTAAGCCAACATTTCTGTGTCCGGGAAGAAGTGGCAAAAAAAAAAAAAGGACAATACCTGATATGCTTCTAGTCCCTGGGCATCAATACTTCCATGGAAAACAACATATTCCATATCTGTCAAAGTACAAACTGTGTCAAACACAAGCTTTGGCCTGTCCTTACATAGGATGGTGACTACAGAGTAATCTTTCTCAGAACAAGGGACAATGTTTACATCAGGCCTTTGCCTCCTATCAAAATCATCATCAAAAGGATCTCGATCGTAATCTCTATCAGAACACATCATCTGGTGGAGCCTTCTATCAGTATGAGTGACATCATCAGTGACCACAGTCTTAGCTCTTCCCTTTTTGCTGTCACAAGAAGCAAGCAAATTACACAGAAGCTCCTTGATCAGAGATAGCCTATGAGGATCAGTAATAGCAGAGCCAGTTTCTTCATCAGTCACACGTATCACGGCAGCTGCACGAGCATTGTGTGTCCAGACTTCTGCATCCACTATATTACACTTGTGGTGGGTTAGAACAGCACTTACTTCTGAGAGTAATCCAGGCCTATCAGTTCCCAATAATTCTATCGTTGTGAAGTCTATTGATGGATTAATCGCAACAGATCTCCCAGGAGACGTACAGCAAGAATCTGGTCCAAGATTCTATAAACGTAGGATAGCAAAGCAATCACTAGTCATTGGATGTGCACATTAGAAAGCACAAGAACATCAAATGAACCTAAGTACCACCAACCTTTTGTATGTAATTCAGAACAGCTTCATCTGTAACCTTGTTTCCATCTTGGTCGGTGACATAGAAAACTGGAAGATAAATTGACAAGAAAAATGTCAGTCTGTGTTGTAAGAGCTGTGGTTATGAAAATTAAACAGAAAAATAAAAGGAAAGTAGTATTACCATCCATGAACCATCCTCCATCAGAAGATATGTAAGCCTTGGTTATGATAAGGTTGAGATCATTGAGGATTTGCACGACTTCAAGGAGTATTCCATGCTTGTTTGCATAATCAACCATTATTACAGTGGCATTATCACAGGCTTCGTTATCAATTACAACCCTGAAAGGATAAGAAAATCAAATAAAAGATGATAAAATAGGAATAAATCAAATTTAATTTTAAGAGGTGATTTGGTTCCACTAATTTATGAAATCTTACCTGGGTGGGTTTAATCTTCGGAAGAGATTGTCAAAGTCGTCGTAATAATGAGAAAAACTAACGGACATGTCAGCCTCCGAGAAAAAAGCTATCAAAGAAAACAACCAATTAGAGGAATTATGTACATAAATAAAATCTCCATAGTCAATGAAAAGAAAAAGTTAAACGAACTCATCAATTCATAAACAAGGGATTAACACAGAGAAAGAAAGCAGAAACCCGTAGGCATAGGCACACAAGAAACAACCAAAACTGGAACCCATTGTACCAATGAAATCAAAAGGCTGATTCGGCTCTGAAGAGAGAGTGATGATGAGAGAGTGAAGAACACACAGAGAAGAGAGGAAGAGTCAAACACGCGTAGGAAACTACAGAAGCAACAAGCGGCTTGGAAAAGAAAAACCAGTGAGACTACTTCCCAAAAAGGGAAAACAGAGAAGAAAGGGTAACGTAGTTGAGTGTTCCATGTTAAAAACAAACAAAACGGACGGATTTAATTCACCAGTGAACTCAGAAATCCCATCTCACCTAACTGGGATATCCCACTCACTTATTCATGGAAGAAATGAAAAGAAACACAGAAAACATGAATCTATATCACAGAGAAAGAGAAGAAAGAAGAGGAACGAGAAAAAAGAATTAAAAAATTATACCTACCCATTACTATATAGCTCCTGAGGATTCTTTGATTTTCTCAACGAAAAACTCTTCTGGCTTCGCTTGACGCAGAGCCTTGGGTAGGGAGTGTGGCGAAAAGTGAAGCGTGCATATATACCCATAGAAATCCGAGATATAAAACAGGAAACTAATGATCCATTTGAATCTAATTTTAAAATTATTTTATATTAATTAATGCGGAAAAGGAATATAAAAATCCAATTGCCAAATCCTCTTTCGACGCGTTCCTGTAAAAATTATCTAATTATCCGGAAGATGACCAGATAATGTATTCAGTTTAATCTATTTAGATTAAATTTAAGTAATTTAAATTAAGGTTCTTAAATATGAATGAATGACGAAAATGAATCTTTGAATTTTGTGTTGGGCAATCCAAAATAAAAGATACGCTTTACATATTTTTAGAGATACATAGAAGATTCTCAGGCCAATCCAAATCTCTTAAAAAAAAAAAGAATGCAAAAGATTCATACTTTCCAATCTCACTCTCTCTCTCTCATTTTGCCTGTCGTTAAGAATTCAAAAATATGAGTATGATTAAGGTTTTTTGTGTTATTAAAGTTTATTGATATAATTAGTTCTAAATTAATATTTTGAGAACGTGTAATTTATCTTAATACAAGTGATAAAGACATTGATACTACCTCCAGTCCTTAATATAAAATCTCGTTTGACTTTTATTTTAGTCATAATTATAAGATCCCGATTCATTTTGTCTCTCATATTTATACATTTTTTCTCAAGGCAGTCCCTCTAATAATGATAGTTGTACCCAAAGACAGCACTTATTTATTATAAATAACTAACTTAACTTATTTTCCTAATCTCCTCAAATTAGTCAACTAGCTCTTATAATTAGGATCAGAGATAGTATTGAATTAGTTAAATTAATCATAATAAATATATGATTGTAATCATAATAAATATTAATAATTAATAAAATAAAAACAAAAATAAGAAAAGAAAACGACAAAAAAAAATACATGTTGAATTAGGACAAATATGAATACTCTTGTAATAATTTTAACATATCAAAATCATTTGTTTATTATTTTAAAATTCAATATATTGTTTTCGTTTTTCATAAAAGACTTCATGAATTAATAGTTATTAAAAAGCACAAATCAGATTGAATTGGAGGGGGGGAAATGGAATGACTAAATTAAAATATTTATAAGTATAAAAATTCTTTAAGCTGTACTATTAATTAAACACGTGCAAACTTTCTGGAAAAGGAAAAAAAACACGTGCAAAACTGCCAACAGAAAAGTATTTAAGGAAATAGGTTTATTAGGGCAAATACAGTCATGTGTAATTGCGGGAGTCTTGATGTTCGAACATAATCAAAGTCGGAATCTGTTTTTCTGTTTTTTCTTTTTAATTTGTCTTTATGAATAAGACTATCCGTATCAATTTAACCTTAATTAATTGGTAGTATTTCTTTTTTGGATATTAAATTAAATTCAATAATTATTATAGTCCATGTCTACTTGGTGCGGGAGACTTGAATCTGAAATAGTTGTTTGTTCACGCTCAACTGTCAAATCCTTAGTTTTTAACGAATTTTCCCCCATTAATATATCCAAATACATAGAATTAATATTCTTTATACTCTGATGTATTTTTTTGGGTATGAATCTAATGTATTTTTTTCTAAAAGAGGGAGTGTAAAAACTGCAAAAATTTATTTTTTTCCAATTCTCTCTCTCTATATATATGTATATGCTTTATCCATCTAGTGCCCCTCGCTTCCTCCTCGTTTGATCAATAAATTGTTTTTAGTATGCTAAATTATCCACCAATCATATAACTTTGCAACTATAAGTGCAATAATTATGTTTAAAAAATTATCAATTTATTGTGACATACTACCTCGGATTCTTAATATGAGATATCATTTGACTTTTATTTTGATTCTAAATATAAAATTCCAATCCATTTTGTCTCTCGTATTTATATATTTTTTTCAAGGTAGTCCTTCAAATAGTGATAGTGTTAGCCGATACATATAATTAGCAAGGATATTTTATAAAAGACAATACTTATTTATTACAAATAACTAATTTAATTTATTTTTTTTAATCTACTCAAATTAGTCAACTAACTTTTATAATTAAAATTGAAGATGGTATATATATTGGTCGATGTAAAATTTGGTAATATTTGATTACAATACATGGAATATATCAAACAAATGACAAATTTATAACTAACTTTAACAACCGTACATGGATTAATTTTTACAAAGCACTATACCAAGTCCAAATTAAAGGAATTAAGTTAATTTGCATGCATTTTGATGTGATGACGATGTATACAGTTGATGGAAGTAAATAAAAAATGTATGAATGAAGTTTATAATAGTAAAAAAGTAATGTTGATTGATAACATTTTATACGTCAAAATTCAATTAGATCTATTTTTGCTTTAATTGAATTTTTATTATTATAAAATTTTTTTTTTTTTAAAAAAACAACTGAAAAGGAACTAAAATTTACCTTTAACACTAGTAGAAGAAAAATCATAAATAAGCATGAGAATTTCCTACCAATTGATAGTAAAAAATCCCTCATAATTTTAAAAAATTTGTATGAATCTTTTCTCAACACGATAAATAGCTGGCATAGAATCGATCCCTTAGTTTATTTAATATTTGATATCTGTCGTTAAACCTTAAAAGAAGTCAAGTAAGACAAAGCAGCAAAATGACTAAAATTGACATCATATTACCTTCGGTTCTGAATATAAAAGTTCGCTCATAATATAACTGTAACTTAAAACAATGGAAAAACACTTAAGGAAAAATATGATTGCGCTTGACGAGACAGTGCTTTTCTTACATGTTGATTTTGTGCAATAAAAAATTAATTATCCACCATTAATCCAAAGAAGCACTTAATTAAGAAAAGAAACGAGCCATAATCAATGGCAGAAATCTCATCACACCAAATCATCATATCCCTAAATCAATGAAAAATTTTAATTAGTTTTTTTGACCAAGAAAGATTTAATTGGTTAGTTGATTGATTGATGATAGTATAATATTATTTGTGAAACCAAGGGGCAAAAAACGTGATAGTATATCTCCAATCCAAGGATGTTAATTCAATGATTGGCACTTGGCAATCAAAATTAAAGTCATTAAAACAAATCACTTTCAATATTTGAGAGGAAAAAAATAGTATGCCAAATCATAAATTTAACAGTGAATTTAACTTTTAGTCTGCAGTAATTTGAAATGCAGTGTTTAGAAGAACAAAATAACTGAATTATTCAGTTTGATATGCCACTTCTTTTGATTTGTCCGCGATAAATCCGTTCAAGAAAGGATCATATATTTTAGGTAAGTATTTTTTTTTTTGGTCTCATCATTATAAATAATCAACTTAATAATTTTTTTAGTATTTAAAAATCAGTTATCTTGCTTGTCTTATAATATAAGTTGTTGCCTTTATATTTTTCTTCCTCACAAAAAATTTTTCTTGAAATTTTTTTTTCAAATTTTCCTAAAATTTGAAAATAGTAAATGTTCAGCAGATGACATGAAGTTATAACACGATCCTTGATTCATATTAATAATTTCTCTAGCACTCTCATCAATGTAACAGTGTAGGTCACTATTAAATTACTCCCTCCGTTCTTTATTATAAGAGACATTTGATGCTTATGGTATGTTCCTATATATAAGAGACACTTACAAGTTGTCTCTACTTTTTTGTGTTGATTTACTATTTTACCCATATTTATTATCTCCAACTCACACTCTCTCTCCCTCCCACTTCTCTTTCTTTTAATAATTTAATTGTTCTCTCTCCTTATTAATGAGGGTATTTTTGGAAAAAAATTATGCTTTTTGCACATTAATTGTTCTTAACTAATTTTAACTGTTTTTTTGATCAACGTACTTCGGTTATTTGTCTCTTATAATAAGGAACGGAGGGAGTAATTCTGGATGAATTTAATTTCTGTTCAGTTTTAATATTAATCCATCTTCCGTATACTTAATAATATACACGCACACAATTTTTTTTATTAAACACATAATCCCTCCATCTCTTATTATAAGATCTAATTTTTTGAATATGTCTGTTTTTTTATAAGATCTTTTTTGAATTTGTTTAAGTATTTAATACATTATTATATATTTTACTCATAATTTAATGCACTTAATACATTCTTTTTCTTCATTTATTTCACTATTGCTCTCTCACATTTACCAATTTATATATAGGGGTATATTTGAAAAAAATTGTATTTGCTACGTATCAATTGTTTTTAACTAATTTTAACAATTTTTTTAAAATGCTCAATTTAGTTAAAATGATCTTATAATAAGAGATAGAGAGAGTACATTTTTTTAATAGAATACACCTACATTTTAAGAGTGGACAATTTATTCAGACAATAAACTTCTTACAAATTTTGAATTGAGAACAGTGTAATAATTTATTATTTTCTTATTTTAGAAAAAGAATCTGTAAGGAAGAAAAATATAAAAGAAATAGTCTATATTTTAATTATAGATGGGTATTTTGGTCTTATAACAATATTCATAAATATCTAATTAGGGGTCTTGACCTAATTAGAAATTTGTTCAAAGTGAAACCTGATTTTGAATTTCAATATTTTAATTAGATTTAAATGAGATTCTTTCTTTTAAAAAATAGTTAAGATTAGTTTAAAAAAACATGTGAAAACAGAACATTTTCTTCAAAGTATATCCTTATTTTTCATTAGATATGTCTTTATTTAATAAAGGAGAAAAAAGAGAGAAAAATACAATAAGATAAATGAAGAAAGAGAATGTAATATGAGAAAAAATAGAGAGAGAAAATAAAAAACTAATTGGAGGCAAAAATTATTAAAAAAATTTAAATCTTGATATGTTGAATAAAGGACAAGGGAGAATTTAGGAGATGATGAAATACTCCTCTAATCCTATTTATAAAATAAAAATTTTTTAATTCTATTTATAAGTTATTTTATTAAATTTTTAACATAAATATACTATTTTGTCTTTAATTTGTTATAATATATATAGTTATTTTT